GGGGGGGGGTTGTCTTGCCGTTCTCTGCCCGTAACCAACAGCAACAAAAACAACAACAACACCAAGAAAGAAAGGAGTGAAAGCAAGGCGCTCTCATGGCTGCCAACTTCTGGGGTACGGTGTTTCACTGGACGTATGCGCGCGGCTACATTCGTGTGCCGATTGTGCTAGCGGTGCCTATTCTGTTCAACAAGTACGGCCTGCATCAGGTCGAGCCCATCTTCCAGTACTGGAATGACGGCCACAACCAGCGTGATATCTGGAACCGCCTTAAGGATAAGGTAGCCCTCATGGAGCAGGAGGAATAATCAGCTGAGACTCGAAAACTGCTGTCGTTTCAGTGTGACACGGTAGCAGGGGTAATAACAGCAACAACGACAGCAGCTGCAGTAGTTGCTGGTAGTAATAGTAGGAAAGGTTGAGTATATGTATATATATATATATATATATATATATATCACTCACCACTGGGTGAATGGCTGATAGCAAATAGTGATGCTTTTTTGTTAGGAGGAAAACCGCTGGAAAGACACGAGCAGGAGGAGCAGGCTGAGAGCCCCATTGTCTCTGTGAGCATCTCTTCCACACCGCCGCCGCTGCTGCTGCTGCTGCTGGTGTGGACCTACTGTTTGACTGCTGGTGAGTGCCCCCTTTTTTTTTTTGGTTTTGGTTTTCTTTTTACCCTCTTTCGTTCTGTTTCTTTTTATTTTTGTTTTGCTCTTTGTGTTTCCTTCTCTGTTACGAACCGTCGCACAGGAGAAAAAAAAGCAAGCAGTAGCAGCTACAGGCCGTTCGAAACCGTAGTTAGGCGAAGCAAAGTAAGCGAAGAACGAAAGAAAAGCGAAGGTGAAAGAACGAGGCAGAGAGGCAAACAAAGAGACAACGAGGCGGCTGTTACAGACAGAGGCACAGTGCGAGTGAGCGAGAGCGAAGAGGTTTAAATATCTGCAGCCATGGCGGATGATGGTAAAATGTCACGCCACATCGTTGTGAGCGGCCTCCCCGGCAACGTGACGCCAGAGAAGCGCGCGATCTTTCTGCGGCACATGTCGAAGAAGGTGGGCGAGGTGCTCGGACACGAGAACTTCACCATCCATTTAGTCCTCGACGAGACCACCGGGCTCGTGACGGGTGCGTTTCTCTCCTTCGGCACCGTCGCCAACGCCGAGGATGCGCTGGCGCGGCTCAACCTCTACCGCTTCACCAAGACGGACGTGCTGACGACGTACCGCTGGTCTGCGCTGCAGTCCGCCAGCGCGCCACCGGAGGGGTACAAGCCACCAACGCTGACGGAAGACACCGACGCGGACTTTGCCCACACCATGTGCGAGGACCCGATGGCGCGGCCGCAGTTTTTCATCAAGCAGGGCGAGTCTTACGACGTGGAGTGGTACTGGTTCAATCACATTACGCTCAAGGCGGAGCTGTACCGTAAGCCGCGCGCGCTCAAGACGGACTCGGTGGGGCAGTGGACGGAGATGGACCGCCGGCAGAAGAAGCTCGACGTCGGTCTCGTGTACGGCCCACTCACGTCGGTGCGCCCGATGCCGGCATGGTCGACGTTCGGCCGCCTGGTTGTGTCGCAGCACACGAGCGGATTGAGGGTGTGGGGCGGCCGGCAGATGAACCTGCTCTTCGAGGTCCCTGAGCTGGACATCAAGGCGTTTCTCGTGTCCTCGCAGGAGAAGTACCTCGTAGTGAAGACGCTGAACGATGTGAGCGTGTGGGACATCCACACCGCAAAGAAGATCCGCACCCTCGGTGGTCTCGACCTTGTGGACGCAGACAAGTGGCCCATCACAAGATTCAGCGCAGAGGACTCCCTTGTTGCCATCTCGAGCGCTAGCCTGGAGGCTGGTGGTCCTGGCAAACTCTTCATTTACCGCGCAGAGACAATGCGGGTGCTGCAGGCTGCCTCCAGCACCACGCCGACGTCGTACACGTTCATGGTGCCTGGTCTGAAGATCGCGGAGTGGAATCCAGTGGTTGGCACACAGATGGCCGTCGTCACGGAGCTTGGCAGAAACCTCGGCTGGCAGGTGATGATTCAGAACATCACGGTGGAGGACAACCTCGTGTATGAGGAGACCATTGCACAGCGTAACTTCTTGCAGGCGGAGCGGCTTGACCTGCTGTGGCACCCACAGGGAACGCACCTCGTCATCAAGGTCACAAAGGCGCAATCGACCGAGTACGCCTTATTTGCTGTCGGCACAAACAGCGTGGCGGTGTTCCAACTGCAGGTGGAGAAGGGCCTCTCCGCCGGTCGTTTCGCGTGGCAGCCGTCGGGGCCGCACTTCGCCGTCATCTTCGATGACCGCTCAAAGGCTGGGTCGATGGGCGCCACATCGGAGATGCGCATCTACAGCATCAAGAAACAACTGAAACTCCTTGGACGGTATGTGACGGGAGCAACACACCTCTTCTGGGCACCGCGTGGCGCACGTGTAGTGGCGACCAACTACGACAAATCCATTCTCCACTTCTACGGTATTAATGACAGCGGTATGGTTATACAGTTGGAGAAGCTCTCCGTCCCTGTGACGGACACCGCGTGGGATCCGACGGGTCGCTTCTACGCGACGTGGGTGTCGGCGCTGAAGAACGCCGGTGACAACCACTTCCGCATCTTCGACCTCAACGGACGGGAGCTGACGTACAAGCAGGTGCGCCAGCTTTCGCACTTCTCGTGGCGGCCATTGGCAGCGCCGGTGCTCTCAGGAGACGAGGTGAAGGATGTGCGAACTCATCTACGCGAGTACAGCCAGCGCTACCAGAGCGAGTTGGAGGAGCAGAAGGCATCTGAGGAGGCGGAGATTCGACGACAGCTGCAGGAGAAGGAGGAAAAGTACACTAAACGCATGCGCGACATCGCACGGCACCACCGCGAGAAGGGTTTGACGAGAACACGCGAAGAACTTATCGCCGCATCGCCGTGGAGCCGCCTGTGGGCGCGCCGCATTAAGTCCCTCCCACCAGAGGAGACAATGATGCACGAGGACGTCACGGAGGAGCGCATCATTCACCGTCGTGCACTCAACTAAACGCGTGTGTATGTGTGCGTGGATGTCTCTCTGCGATTCTACAGCGGAAATGAGCTTAAGCGTGAGGAAGAGAGAGAGAGAGAGATCGTATGTGTGTGCCTGTGTGCTAGCCGCGTTTCCTCCAACCAGCAGGGCGGAGGCACGGGCCGAGGATAAAAGTGCAGGAATTGAGCGCAGGCGAGAGAGGCATGGCTGTGAGGCGGGCTGAGTGCAGGCACACACACAGGCAGACACCCACGAAACACTTACCACTTCTATAAACGAAAAAAACAACAACAACAAAAAACAAAGCGAAACCCAGAAAGAAAGAAAGGCATCTCTTTCCCACTCCTTCCTTCCCAATGCTTCTCCGTCCGGCAATCTCTCAGGTGCAGGCACCCTTCACCGCGCAAGAGGAGAGCAGAGAGGAAGAAGTGAGAAGGAAAGAGGCTCAATTAAGTCGTAATAACCAAAGAAAAAAAAAGTGGGCATGCTCCGTCTTTTTCTTGTTGGACCGGTGCTTCACTTCACGTGAGGCTGTGACGCAGCTCTGCTGTGCTGTTGCTTTCATTGACTACAGCTGTGCTCCCCTTCTCCCCCCTATTCTCCAGTGCGTAGGATCGCTGCGCCCAGCTGTAGCAGCATTATAACACTGGCGCGTTGCTTCATGGTGGCGTGAAGATGCTGCGTCACGTATGTTGTGCTCGTGTGGCCGTAGTGAGCCGCCTCTACCGACTGCCGTCAACTGGTGTGATGCTCTGCTCGAGGAGGACTCACACGACCACGCCATCATCATCATCATCATCATCCTCGCAACAGCAAACACAAGAGGGAAAACAGTTCGATGACGCGGCGGTCAATGAGGAGATCCATTCACAGCAGCAGCAGTTAAAAGAGCAACATGAGGACGCTGCAACTGCAGCGCCACTGTCTTCTTCGTCTTCCTCAGCCGATGCTTCTGCTTCCCCAGAGGATGATATCAAGAGTGCCAACACTGACACAATTAAAGACGTTGTTTCACCTGAAGTAGAGCCTGTGCGTTGGGTGCAGAAGCCCTACGTTGACCCTTCGACAGAGCCTATTATTGATGAAAAGGGTGAGTACATCGTCTCCCGCGTACAGTGGCCAACAGGTGAGATAGCGTACAGCACCCCTCCGCCCCCTGACGGCAAACTGGCCCCGCGCTTCGGCTACAATGTGGTGCAGGTAAAGAAGGATGTATCATGGTGGAAGCACTACCAGAAGTACCCACGCATTTCCGTGGCCTACATTAACATCCAAGTTCTTTTCCTCCTCGGTGCTGCGTGGTTGGTGGCATTCCTGTCGGAGGAGTACCGCAGAACGACGGACGAGTTGAAGACACCAGGGGCGATGGTCGGCGAGCACCGCGGTCGCGGCCCCGTCGGCCGGCAGACGCAAAAGGTCGCTTTCACCAGTGATGAGATGTCAGCCCTCGTGAATAAGGCTCAGAACAACTGGCTCGATGCCAAGGGGGAGGCCAATTACATTGGTTCAAAGGATTACAGCATGAAAAAGATCCCACGCCCGAAGGAGTTCAGTGTGGACGACTTCCGGAAGCGCTAGGGGAATAGCAGGAGACAGGGAGGGGAAAAAGGTGCAAAGGAATGGAATACCACTCGTGTGTGGTGGTGGAGTGAAGAGGAAGGACGAAGACGTAAATGAGCGCAGCTGCGTTCCACCAGGCACGCCCCTGCAGAATGCCAAGTGTGTGCTTGTTGCCACACACACACACACACACACACACGTATATACATTTCAGTACTTTTTTTTCTTCCCCACTGCTTCCTTCTTGCTTCTTTCACTCTGCCTTGATGTGTGTGTGCTGCGTGGGGAAGATAAGTTGTGTGTCTCTAGCCGTCCTCCGCTAAGTGCGAACGGGGCGACAAAAAGCAACAGTAGCCTCTTACCACCTACCCAAGGATCAAGCAGAAGATGAAAAGTGGCTTTGCAGCGAATGTGCCTGACACGGGGGCGAGACCATTTTCATTTCTCGACGCACCGCCGGAATTTTTCGTGGCGACACGTTCGCCCGTTACACATGCGCCACAGCAGCGGCCTAAAGCGTCGAAGGAATGCTACAGTGTGTATGGCTCCACCGACCCGGTGGACGACTTGGCACGGGTGCCCTCCGCGGAGGACATGACGCTCGCGGACCACCAGCGCCAACTGCCGCGGCTGCCAATCCCCCAGCTGCAGGACACGTGTGCGAAATTCCTGAAGTCTGTTGAGGCTATTGCCTCATCGATGGAATACTTCGTCGTGAGAAAACTCATTGACGAGTTCGAAGCACCTGGTGGAGTGGGAGAAAAACTCGACGCGCTCCTACGTGATTGGGACAAGCGCTGCGAAGAGCCAAGCTGGCTGGAAGACTTCTGGGACGACGCATACCTCTGCCCGCGGGGTCCCATTCCGATCAACGTGAATTATTTCTTTGGCTTCAGCGCCCACCCAAATGCGAGTGCCATGACACAGATTGGCCGAGCCGCGAGTTTGCTTCACGGCGCAGTGGCATACCACCTTGAAATACGTAATGGCACTTTGTTATCCGAATACGAGCGAGAAAAGCCTGTGTGCATGAGTCAGAACCGCTTTCTTTGCTGCACATCGAGGCTACCTGGAAGGAGGCGTGACCGCAAGGTGTGCTACTGTGATCTCCCCGCCTTGACAGAGGATGAGCTGCAGTCTAAGAGTGTGGAATTCGTCTCCCTCCCACACCCACCGCGGCATTGCATTGTGATACAGCGCAACCGCTTCTTCGTTGTGGACGTACTGCATGACGACCGTACAGCCATTGACATTGAGGACCTCGTTGTAGCATTACGGCTTATTCAGGAGAAAGTTGAACACAATGAAGAGGCGGGCCCACCTGTCGGCCTATTAACGACAATAGATCGCGCCCAGTGGTTCGAGGCGCGGGAACACCTTAAGGAGTTGGGCAACTACGAGACACTGCGTGCGATTCAGTCCGCCATCATCTGTCTGGCGCTTGATAGCGTGGAGGTGGTCACGTCCGACGAGGCCGCCCGCATATTTCTCCATGGCAGTGGTACCAACAGGTGGTTTGACCGCCACAACATTATTGTGACGCGTGATGGTTGGGCAGGCGTTAACTGGGAGCACTCCGTCTCCGACGGCACGGCAACGCTGCGTTTAGCGGACCGCATGTATAAATCTGACTGTGAACACAACTTCACAATGGAGACAATTGCGACACTTATGACAGACAGGTCTCGCCGCACCCGGGCTGCCGCACGCATCTCCGAGTTGGAGTGGAAGCTTGACGCGCAGGTGAATGCAACAATGCGGGAGGCATTTTTCAACTACAAAGCAATGATCGAAGTTAACGAGACTGTTGTTCTGCGGTTTCGCGACTTTGGTGGTGCTTACTTGAAGGAAGCCAAAGCGTCACCGGATGCATTTGTGCAGCTGGCTTTTCAACTCGCGTACTACCGTATGTTCGGCCGCACGTGTGCCACGTACGAGGCGGCGAGCACGCGAACATTTCTGCACGGCCGAACGGAGTGTGTGCGTAGCGCCACTAGAGCCGCGCTGGATTTCTGTCGGACGGCTTCCGAGCCGATATTCTCCAAGCGTGTGGGATCAGTTGTACCCACACAGCGTGCGCTGCTGCGAGAAGCCATGATACAGCATGTTGAAAACATGAAGCAAGCGAAGAACGCACACGGGATCGACCGCCACCTCCTTGGCCTGCGGCTGCAGGCGGTGAAGCACGGCATTTCCATCCCGGACATATTTGAAAACATTGTCTTCAAGCGCTCTGCACATTGGCTTATGTCCACCTCGCACTGTGGGAGCGTCAGCCTGAGCTTGTTTGGCTTTGGGCCTGTGGTGGGCGACGGCTTTGGCATCGGCTACATGATCAAGAACGACCATATTGATGTTTGCATCACCTCCAAGTACACTCAGCCCTTTACGAGCGCACAGATCTTCGCCACAACTCTGAAGTCATCGCTGCTGCACATGGCAGCCATTCTTGAAAGTGAGTCGGCGCACAACCGGGCGGAAGCGCGCACCATGCTCTTCACTCACCCTACAGGCTTTAATGATTTCAAGTATGATCCTGAAGAAGGATTTGTCTACACGAGTTACCAAATGAGCGACATGCAGAGATCCTCCAGCTCCATGATGATACCGCAGTGACAAATTATTCGTTTCATACCCTAACATTTGGCCCCTGGTGGGGGGGGGCCTTCATTGTGTTTCAAGCTTGTCTCACGGCAACTAGTTTCTTTCACCACTACTACCATCATCACCGCCCTTTTTTGTTTACCTTCCTTCTCTCTCTCACTCTCTCTTGATGTACTCATCCAGAGACTGTTCCAACCTCTTTCTTTCTTTCATTCACCCACACTCACCTCTTGCTGCGTCACGTGTCACTAACTGTTGCGTAGCGGATATGTTTTTCCCCTGGGCTCGGTGCGAAGAGAAATCAAGAAGACCAAACAAAAGACATCATAATTCACATGCGAACGATGAGATTCAGTGCTTTTTTCTGTTTTTTTTTGTTTTTACATGTCTTTTGTCTCTTGTGATGGTTTGTGCCAGCCTTTCCCAGTTATTCTCCGTTGATACCATGCGATCGCTCAGTGTTTTTTTTTCGGTTTGCTTTCTTTTTTTTTTTCTCGTTTGCTCCGCAGCTACTTCCTGTTTATTATTGCTATTGTTTTTTATTTGCCTTGACGGGGAGAGTGCGCCACTGCTTCCGCCCAAAGACTGAGGAAGGTGGGCCATGAAGGACGAGGCGACGCACACCCCGACGAAGGCAGCGGAGACACGTGCGCCAGCAAGCAAGCGTGGTCGAGAGGTGGGGGGCTTACCCAGCACGTTTGTCACGTACTCGGCACCAGAGGCGGCAGCAACGCAGGGCGGTGGGAAGCAGCAGCGGGTCTCGCAAACACGTGCGCGCATCCTCGCAACAACACTGTCACCGCTCGACCAGGCGGTCTTCGACGTGCCCCTCGAGGCGTGGCGCCGAGTGGATCGCAGCACCCTCGCTGGCTGGCGGTGCTCCGTGCCGAACCCTGTTACCCCCAGCGACTTACCACCGGTGGATCCGTCCGACAACATATTGCGCCACATTGCCCTGTACAGGGGGCCTGTGACGAAGCTGCAGCTGGACGCCATTGTGAACGCAGCGAACACGCAGTGTCTCGGCGGTGGCGGCGTTGATGGCGCCATCCACGCGGCGGCAGGGCCATTGCTCCTCCGTGAGTGTGCCACGTTCAATGGGTGTGCTACGGGTCAATGCCGACTCACCAAAGGCTATCAGCTCCCCGCTCGCTACGTTTTGCACACTGTTGGGCCGGTTGGCGAGAAACCAGCTGAGCTGCGCAGCTGCTACCGTTCCATTCTCTCACTGGCGCACCGGAATGGTCTGCGTAGTGTGGGCTTCTGCTGCGTAAGCACCGGTGTCTACGGGTACCCATTGCTGCCTGCCACTCGCATTGCCCTTGGGGAAACTGTGAAGTATATCACACAGCACACGGATGCCTTTGATCTCTGCTGCTTCGCGTGCTTCCAGGCCGAGGAGTACAAGACGTACACCGCCTGCCTGCGGGAGGGATTTGCTTCTGAGGCATGTGGTGGCTCCGATCTATAAAACGGGATTTCGTTGACGAGTCCAAAGAAACGACAACAAAAAGGAATCGTCAGAAACTCCCCGTTGCTGCAAACGTTCTCCACCGTCGTTCTATGCGCATGCACGTGTCGTTGCGACTGAGAGAAGTATTTCCGAGAATCGGGAAGGAAACCAAAAACAAAAAAAAAATGAAACAAATGATTTTTTTTGTGCGCATACTTTGGGTGCCATTTTTCCTATTCTGTCCTCCTTGTTATGCCTCGCTGCCTGTGTGTGTCTGTGGGATTCTACTGCGCCCCAATCGACGCTCTGTGGACTCAACATCTCCTTGTTTGCGCAACGATGCTGCAGTGATGTCTGTGTTGCGCATGCGCCGGGGGTGAGAAAAAGGAAATAGTATGAAGGGTATGCACGCTACCTATTTTACGCTGGGGTCTCTTTGTGTTTGTGTTCATACACTGGCTCTTTGCTGGCGCTGCACGCCTTGCCACCGCGCCTCAGCGCAGTGTTCCCGTAGCGGACCGCCACGGCGTTCCCCGCACAACATCGCCATCGCAAATGTGGCGTGAAATCTCTTTGGGCCAGCTGTGCCTTGGCGTGCAACCCACCTACGGTGATGCACTCCCTGAAATGAGGCGCAAAGGAAAGAACGGTTGACGACGCTGAGGTTCCCTTTTCTTCCTTTACTATTTTTTAAAGCGGCTGTTTTGTCGCATAGGCAGTCCACGAACAACGCTGCTTCGGAACGGAGAGTGACGACGTGTCAACGCACGACGACTGAAGGGGACGCTGCGAAGCAATGCGAATGAATGACTGCTGGGATGAGTGAATGTTTCCGCGAGGGCTACTCCGAAGGTGTATCTCCCCGTCCGGCTCCGTGCTGGGACTGCCGGGATAATCAAGCAGCACGTCTCGGCGGCGGTGGGACGTGCGTTGCCGAGGCCTTTGTGCTTCTCCTTCCAATGAAGGACACTTTGTGTCGACACGCCAATGGCCAGCAGATCGTCTCTGTGCAATGCAACATGGAGGCGGTCTTCCCCTTAACCAATGGGAGGAGCCACGGACATCACCAACGCCGTCCTGGCCATAAAGAGCAGATGGCACAAACGATGTTGATGCCTTTGCGCTGTTTTGGTGCCCTCTCCTTAACGGAGAGGGAGGGGTTCGTGTCAGTGTTGGCCGCGGAGCTGATGCCGAGATATCTGACCGGGAATCAGCCACAGAAGCGTTGTGTGTTGCTGGACAACCGCGCAGTTTTCCCGGGATTGCTGCATATTCGAACTCTCCGTGGTAAGTTTAGGGACAGCTTCAGGCCGGCTCCAAACGAGCTGCTCTACTCCTCACATGCAGATTTGTTTCCTACACCACTGTTTTCATTGTGTGTATGCCACTCTCACCGCATGAACACCTCCTTTCAAATTAGCACCGAAAGGCGTGGCTTCGCTGCTAATGCGCAGTAGGAATGATGTACGCTGGACACGAGGGATACCCTACAGACGTGATTACCGCAGCTCATGCGTGCATAGCCTCACGAAGGGTGTGATTCTATGACGACCCACCTCTTGTATTCTGGACTATATGGCCTAGGACAGTTCTATGATTGAAGTGTGTCGTTGTGCTTAAGCAAGAGGAGTGTGAATGTGTGTGTCTGTGTGAGCAAATGGTGACATTTGTTCCTTTGTTCTGTTGCTATGGTACATGGCTGGTTTACCAGCTTCGCGTTTATGATGATGCTGATGATTATCCTCGTCGGTGAAGTGAAGCTGTGCGTTTCTTAAAGGAGTGCTTCTGCCACTCTCCCTGCTGTTGTTGGTGTATGACTTGTTGCTTTACTTTTTTTTTCTTGCATGATGTTTTTTTAATGCATGCAGCGCGTTCAATGGCGCATCGCCTGGTTCTCCCCCTGCCTCCGGCTTTCGCCGCGGCGGGTGGCGGCACAGATGAGGGGTACAGCGTCTTCGCGTACAACCCCGTCGGCGACGACGGCGTCTGCGTGGGTGCGCAGCAGCAGCTGCAGGCGTACATTGATCGTCTGGGCGAATTTCTCCACAGAACACGCCTCATTCAGTACCACCCGGAGGACTTCTTCCGCTTCCTCCTCGGCATGAGCGACGACGCGGGCGATGGCTCAAGCGCCGTGCTGTCACACCTTGATGGCAGTGCTGTGCGCGAGGAGGAAGTGCGGTACATGCGAGAGCTGTGCGAGGCCTTCGCCGCCTTGGTGCCGAGCGATGACGCGTTTATTAAGCAGATGCACCGTGTCATACGAGAGGGGCCGCCTGCAGGGGCGGCGGCGTGCCTGCAGTCCTTCTTCGCCGAGACCAAGGCGCTGCAGTTGAACCGCCGCAGACGCAGGGAGAACGACGCGGCGCGTCTGACGCTGCGAACGGAGGACGACGCCGCACTACCGCAACGCGACGCTGCACAGCAGCAACGGTGCAAGCGTGTGATGGCGGCAGTGCTCGGCTACGGCATGGGGCCGAAGAAGCAGCACGAGGTGGTCGTGATGCGCGACACCACCATGGATCTCGTCGATTGCTGCAACACCGCGGCGGAGTGTGGAACTTCGCTGTTGGAGCCGGTGGAGACGGTGGTGAATGTGGGCGAGGGCAAGGGCTATGTGTCGCGCGCGCTCGCGCTGTGCGACGGGCTGCAGGTGATTGGCCTCGACTGTAATCCGTCGCACAAGGAGCGGGTGGTGGAGCGCGTCGAGTTTCTCTTGCAGGGGCGACTCGGTGTGGACACAGCCCAGCAAGAGCTGACTGGCCGTGACATGCTCAACTTGTTGTACGAGCCGCGCGGGCACATGGCGACGATTGCGTGCCGTGTGGGGCTGCACATGAATTGGGCGGATGTGCTGCGCGGCCACGTCCGCATCTGCGACGCGGCATCGCCATTCGATGGCGTTGTGCCGATTAGTCCAGAAGCAATGCAGGATGACGGCGAAGATGCGGTGAAAGCGGTGGCGGCAGCAGAGGTGAAGGCGGAGGAGTTGACTGATGTCACGGGAAAGGTACAGTGCCGCGTCTGCAGTCAAATCATACGTCGCAGTGGTGCCGCATCTATTGTGCGACACACACTGTGCCACCTTAACGCCGGCCACACGGCAGGATGCACGGAGCTTCCGTCCAGAGATGCCGTTGATGAGTGGAACCGCAATCTACCGGTCGAGGCGTTTGCCAACCGCATCATTGCCACGTTCTTCACGGACAAGGTGGTGTACGCGCGGAAGGAAGGCACCGACGCCGCCGCCTTATCAGTGAAGCGGCCTCGCCGCGAAACGTCAGCAACCCGTTCGGGTGCCAACAATGCACGCGAGAAGTTGCAGGACGTTCTCGACGCGTATCGTCTTGCGTCAAACGTCCGGCTCCCACGTGGCATGCGCGCCGAGGTGCTCCTACCTGTGCAGCAGCAGCAACAACAAGAAGAAGAGAGGGGTGGAGGAGAGGACACTGATGCAGTGCCCGCTTTCGTCTACTCGTACACACCTGTGTGCCTCACCATTGTCGGGTATGACTGCGCCCCCAATCGTCATTTTGTCATTCTGGATGATGGGAAGTTGAAGGAGGCCTGTGTATTAGTACAACGAAGCGACGGAACTCGGCTGAAGATGGAGAGTTCTCCAGAGGAACTCGATATTCCGCCTGCGAAGGATGCCTGGTCGCTGAAGTTAGCGGTGCTGTTGCGTGTTTTGCCTCCTGCACCGCCGCGCACGCCTATTGTGCGGGTTCCCGAGCTCCGCAATACCGTCATGATTGGCCTCCATCCATGCGGCGACCTTGGCTCCAACGTCTGCCGTCTCTTCACAGAGAGTGCTTCACGTGGGTTGCTGCTTGTCAGTTGCTGCTGGCACGCCCTCACGAACGACGGCTTCCCACTTAGCCGTGAGCTGCAGCGGCGCGGGTGGAGGACAGAGCAGATATCTCTCCTCCTCGCCACGCAGCCGCTCGACATGTGGGCTACCGCCTCGGCGGAAGGACACCGCGGCTCCGCCCGCCTATTATTCTACCGCAGCCTTCTAAAAGTATTGTGGCACCGCCTACGGGAGCGGTGGCAGCATGAGACGGTGGCGGCGGCAGGGTGCTGCCGCTTCGTCGAAGTGCCGCACTTGGAGCCGGCTTTTCTGCGCCGCATCGCGAAGATGAAGGACACCGTGACACTGGAGGAACTATACTTGGAGGTGTGCCGTGAGTACTTCTTCGAGGCGACGGCGAAGCAGACACCTTATACATGGCAGCACCGCGTGTGCGTATCGTGCCGTGCATCCCAGGAGCGGTTCCTGGCGGCGCATTCGAGTGTGTCTTTGGCGGCCGAAATGGGGCGGGAGTATTTCGCTGCGCATTTCGCCTCCTTCCTTGGACTAACAGTGCTGCGCATGTGGATGAGTCATCTTGTTGAGACACTGCTGCTGCTTGATCGCGCCTTCTACCTTGCCGAGGAGCTGCGGCGGGATGAGCGCTGCCGGGGATCGGTGGTGTCGCTCGTGCCCCTCTTTGACGGCGCTGTCTCTCCGCGGATGTACGGCATCTTGGCCCGCCGCATTCCTGTGAGCTAACAGGCACGCGGGTGAAGAAGGAGCGGAAAGCACGGACAATTAAAAAAGAAAGAAGAATCGCTCTGAAGGCAAACAAGAAGAAAAAAAAAACATGCGTAAAAATACATTCCTACATTTATTTTTGCACAGTGTGCGTTTTTTTTTTTGGATATGCACAATCATTGCTTTCTTTAAAACAAAAAAAACCTCCACGCTTCACTACTCCTTCTTTTTGCCTTCTGTGACCTCTGAGAGGTGGTGGGGCAAGCTGCAGCAAGGGGGAGGTAAAGGGGAGTGGGAGGGGGGCGATCGGCACCAACGCCTCCACCAAAGTCTATCGAGCAACCGTACCGTACTAAATGCAGCAGAATCGTGGAGAATATTTGTTCCGAAGCTCCTCGCCCCTGCATAGTGGGGGGCTGGCGCCGGCGGCAGGCAGCATGACCACTTCCCCTTCGAGTCTCGCGCACCTCAACAATCCGTACATGCAAAGCTTTAACCAAGGGACGACAGGTGGCACTGGGCGACCATCAGCGGTTGTGCGGCGCGCGGCCCCAACTTTAATGACGGCTGCGGATACACTACAGGAACAGGGGAGCAAAGCTCCTGAAGAGCGTGCGATGCTTCGCAGTGAGCTTTCCCGCGGATGTGAGTCACCCGCTGTAGAGACAAATGAGCGTCAGACGGAGGTGCATCGTACATTGGAGCTGCAGCGCTTGCTGCGGGTGGAGCGAGGGATGCGTCTTTCGGCGGAACGGCGAATTCTAGAGGAGAGAGAAAAGGGGACCCGAGCTGCTATCGTCATTGAGGCCAACTACGGTGCACGTATGCTGTATTCCATCTTTCTCGAAGCCATCGCGACACTCCCCTCTGCTCGCACTTCTGGTGCTGCTGCTGATGCGTGGGACAAAGCAGGCCGTCCGCTTCGCAGCCCCTCACGGCGACATTTACTGGCCCCCTCCCGCAATGGGGAGGAAGCTCCGCATGCGGCGTCGGCACTGGCAGCCGATGACGGGCGGCTTGCGGAGGAGAACCGCCTGCTGCGGGCGCAGGTGGAGCGATACAGGTCCATAGAGACAGAGGACCGGCAGGAGCTAAATGAACTGCACCGAAACATGCAGACTGCGATTGATCGACTGACACGCGAGTGCGAGGCACTGCACACGGAATTGACGCGCTACAAGACGGAGCGTCAACCTTTGCAGTGGGCGGCGGAGCGTGGGAGAGTCGTGCCGACCGACGAACGCTCAATGTGGCACTATGCGCACTTCATAGACCCGTCCGCGGCCAACATGGAGGAGTCCCCTGAACTCGCGTGCCGTCTTCGGGTACTGCCGTTGCGTGAGAGGCCAAAATAGAGTTTTGCACCTCGATGCCTCGCCACGCTGGGAGAAGGAAGACGAGGCGGAGGAAACCGCACGAGAGTGCGTTGGGCGTGCTACATGGCACGGTTTTTTTTTCAAAATTTTCATTTTTTCTTGGTGTGGTGTGGAGTTTTGTACTGCGGCTGTAGTGCTGATGCACTTCTTCTTCACTCCTTGTTTTGTGTCGTCCTTCTTTTTTCTTGTAAATTTGGGTGCTTCTGCATGTGTGAGTCTGCTTGCGTGTGCTGCAGGGTTGCGCCGTCACTGCGGGCGCGATGGCTGAGCAGCGGCTCCTCGCTCTGCGGTGCTGGGACGCATGTCTGCGCTACGAACTTGCACGCTCTGAGCTGTGGGGCCGACTGCAGAGCGGCGCCACTTCTGACGTTGCTGCCTCCAGTACCGCACACGGCGCCACTGATTGGCTGGAAGGAGACGCAGTGCCGTCTATCGCCGACGAAACTGTGGCCATAGCGCTTCGACACATTGCCTGCGAGTACCTCACAGCATCCGTAGAGGCCATAAATGGGATGCTGCGCAACTTCAAGAGCTGGAACACCAATACAACTGGCCACTCTGTCGGTGCTCAACGGGTTTCGTTGCGCATCTTCACGTCGCTCTTAGGCTCGCTTGCACTTGTGGCAAGCCCGGCAAAAGTAATCGAGGCCCTCTGGAGTTCGTTGCTCCACATCGATGGTCTCCTCGCCGAGTGTGTGTCGGAGGCGAGGGAAAGTCGTACTGTTGTTGAGTCTGACGAGTCTGAGGCGAGGGAGCAGCTGCTCTCCTCCAAACGGCGCTGGGAACACACCCGAATGTTGCGCGAGCGCTTGCAGCAACACGTGCATCTGGCGACGTTGCACACGGCGGCCGACGCGGGTGTGGGTGCCGACCGGAGCGTCTCACTGATACGACGTGTTGTGCGTATAGAGGAGGAACGGCAGCAGCAGCGGTCAGCGGAGGAGGCAGCGCGGGTGGAGCGACTTGGACACGTGGGTGACACACTGAAGACGCTGCAGGAGCAGCTGCGCGTCGCCGGCGAGTACGAGGCGCTATCGTTGGCGTCGCTGCGGGACGAACAGGCGCGGCGCGTCGCCCAACTGCTTGACGAGTCCCGCGCCACACACAGTGCGGGCCGAGTAGGTCTGATGGAGCGGCAGCTTGGGGTATTGGGGCGCTTCGCCATTGGACTCTCCGTTGCGAACCTCGGCAGGCGCGAGCACGAGGCGATTCTTTGCCGAATGCGTGATGCTGGAACATCCAACGACGCGGCGGCGGGCGACTTCACATGGCTCATCACCGATAGCGCGGAATTCGAGCACGACTACTGCGCAGCCTCTGTGCCGACGCCCGGCCATGATGCGTCGCCGCTCCAACAGTGCGTCCTTGACGCGTCGTACTACAAGGCAAGTGAGGCGACTTCGACAAGACGCGGGTGCGACATCCCGCCGGAGGATGAGCGCCGCCATGTGGAGGCCGTACTGCAGGAAACATTCGCCTCCCTGGCGCGGCTCAACTATGTGGCGCTGCCCTTCCTGCAGTGCGATGCCGCTGCGCTCGATGCGGTCGTACTTTTTCCATCCTTTGAACTTTTCGTAACACAGTGCGAGCTTAGTGTCATTGGATCTAGTAGACTCGCCTTCGTCCGGCATTCCACGAGTCAGCTGGATGCTGACGTAGCTGCGTATGTGAAGTCGCTCGTGCAGCGGAAGGGAAGCTGGATCGTAGACTACGCGATGTCCTACGACGACTTCCTCGCGTTTCTTGTCGATCAGGCAGCGGTGGAGTATGTGCGTCATGCATACCTGCTCACCCCGAGGGCATTGTTGACGCGCATCGTACAGGAATTCGTGGTGCCCAAGTGGCTTGCGCGCCTGAAGAGGGACGAGCAAGCAGCGGTACACAGCAATGCGATACGAGAGAGGCCGACAGGCTGCGTTACAACCGCCTCTCGGCCGGATGCTGCTGATGATGATGACAAAAATAACAAGGACAACAATGACTTATGCCTGCTGCTGGACACTGCTGTTACGTGGCTGAGCATTGCAAACCGCTCGCTACGGGACTTTGCGGTGGCGTATCGCACACATGTTGTGGATTACGCGTGCGCCATGAAGCCGGAGGGCGAGCAGACTAGCTGCAACACCACACGTGCACTAATGGCGCTGCTGTTTCCCCCACAGGGGAATACTCGGCTCCGCTGCAACGCGGATAGGTGGGAGGCCTTGCAGCGTTCATACGGTTCGACGTTTGCGGAGCTCAGTGAGCTAGTGGAGGATGATGGCAGTTTAGACGGCGTGACTGCATGGCTCAGCCTTGTCATTGATGGCATCAGCAGAGAGGACCTCATGCAGCGAATCGCCGACACCGTTGATGCCATCCTCCGTGCGAGTCTTGACGACGACGATGACGGTGACGCATGCCCAGCAAGGGGCAAACTGCGCAGCTGTTTGTCTCATAACACACCCCTCTCGTGGATTCTGACATTGGCTCTGTGTGTTCGGTTGTCCTTTGATAGCAGCGTCGTCACACCGCGACTGGACGGAATGCTGCGTTTCCTCACCGTATCGTGTTGAGTTCTGCCCACCCCATTCCTTCACATGGGAGATGAACACTATTCGCCTCCATTTCTTTCTATGCGGGAGTGTCATCTAATGCGTGTTTGGTTTCTCTTTGCCCACATGTGTCTCTTTGATTTGCCTTTTTATAAATTTGGTTGTGGTAGTAGTGGTGCCTGTGTAGGGGTGGGTCTTATCGTTATTCTCTCCTTGTCTTTTTGTTGTCCTCCTGTTATCTTCCACACCTGCCCAAGGGAGTGCGTCGTTTCTGTGCAATCGGACAACGACGAACGAATAGGAGTTTTCTTTTGTTCTGTTTAAGTAGTATTAGCATAGAGAAGGGTGGAGAGAAGAATAAGTATCATGAAGGACTCCGGCGCCGTAGAAGTTCCTTACTGCAACGACGCCACCACCCATAGTAGTGGCCGCACCCACCACCCCTACGCTAGGTGTTACAACAACAACAACAACGAGGCCACTAACAATGCTAACAGTGGGCACACCGCATCCATTCCGGTGCAGGTGGCGAAGCGGGCGTCGTACGACGAGGGGAAGGATGAGATGCCCTCTTCACCAGTGACGGTGCAGGCACGATACCGCCTTCAGAGCCCGACGTTCAGCTCCAGAAAAGGCGAAGTAATGCTTTCAACCTCGCCAGTTGATGCTGCGCTGCGCTCCCCGCCGTACGCGTGGAGTCCTGGTAGTTCACTCCAAGGCGACTCATCTCAGAACCAGTTCCAGACGGGTCTTGCGGCGAGCACGCCAATTCCTGTGGCACAGGACGTTAGTGTGGGCGGCAGAGGTAGGTCACCGTACCCCGCTAGTTACGCCCCGGCAAGCTTCGCGATGCCCCCCGCCCTCGCTGGTGGGATGCGGTCGCCGCACAACGACGGTGTGACGCGGTTGCCTCAGACGGATTCACTCGTCTCGCCGCTGCGCATAGGCTCGCCGCCGTTGGGGTGCCACGGACCAGAGTACAGCTCACCAGTGTTGTTGCCTGTATCACCACTGTACCACGGCGACACGCTACTGCTGCGCAGCCCAAAGGGCGGCCGCGGTGGCGGTGGCGCGATGGTGCGCGGCACGAGCGGCGACAGGCCGCAGAGCCGGACGGTCAAAAACAGCGCCGGCCTCGGCGACGGTGGCTCGACAGTGTCGGGTAGCAGCACAAGCTCCATCCGGGAGGATCTGGCGCTTTGCCCCAATGACGGGCTCTGCACCCTCATCAATGACAGGAAGCATCAGCGCAAATTCGCCCATACATGTCGTTTGTTTCCGTGCTACCACGGCCACGTCGCACGCCACGGGAAGTTGTTTCGCCACGCAGAAGGGCAAATCGCCCAAACCGAGGGCCTTTCGAGCGGAAACGGTGTGCGAAAGCGACTTCCAGCCGAGGCCCTGGCCAGTGTGAATTTCAGCTCTATCAGTCCAGAGGCGCCCAATGCCTACCGTATTATAGTAAGCCATGGTGAGAAGAGCTACGAGATATTTGGTGACTGGCAAAATGTTCGCGTTCATACCTTCAAGCGTTACTTGCACCAGGTATACAAGATTCCACCAACGTCGCAGGTGCTGGTGCGTGCTGAGGGGAAGGTGCTGCTGGACGACGACATTGAGTCCGTGAGCCGCTACGGGGTGCAGCCCGACACTGTAATAACACTGAAACGCAAGGAGGACGATGAACCACCACGTGTGCCGCTCGAAGATTTGTAGACGTGCGATCACCAGCGCCAGCAGCAGGAGAAGGTATACACGTCTGGAAATGAACAACAACAACAACACCAAGAGCCAAAAAAAAAAAAAAGAGCTGCCACAATTCAGCCCTGTTCCCGTAAATAAGACAAATGGACCCATAAGTGCACACAACAAGCGGCGAAACACGACGGAGAGAAAAGAAACACAAAACAGGACGCTTTTTCCACCACCACCACCTCCTCCTCATCCACCGCGCACGAAGCGGAGGAGGGAATTCCAACTACAACAGAAAAAAGTAACACACCAAACAGAAGCTCTGGTCAATGGGTAGAAGACAGCAAGGCTTTATAGATGGAGTACATAAAGGAGGGAGGGGGAGGTGAGCGCACTACACGGCTGGTTTCGCCACGACGCATTCTTTTTGCGCTTCGGCCGGCATATATACCCACGCACAGTAAAGAAGAACGAGAAGAGACTTAAATGTGTTCACAGGAAATAATGTGCGTACTTCGAAAGGGCTGCGCCGTCAAAAGTGAGAGACAAGAGAAACCTATAGTGAAGATGATGGACATTCAACAATAACAAAAAAAATGTGATGCAGAGGGGAAAAAAAGTTGACGAGTGGACGGTCTGAGGTGCTCCGAGCCGAGAAGGGGAGCTCGGAGACCGCCGCGGAGCTGCGGGCAGGGGGCGCATACGTGTCCCGGTGCGAGGCGCGCAGTGGAGCAGCCCGGAGAGTTTGTCTGTGGGTTCAGTGGTGCGGGCGAAATTTGCGTGCTTCCGCNCCCGGTGCGAGGCGCGCAGTGGAGCAGCCCGGAGAGTTTGTCTGTGGGTTCAGTGGTGCGGGCGAAATTTGCGTGCTTCCGCAGTGCGCGCTGCGGCGTGGAGAAGCACCACTGGGCCCACCCACAGCTCCCTTTCTTTTATTATTTTGTTTTATTTTTGTCACGCGGGGGTGGTGGTGGTGCGTGAGCAGTGGTGTCGCGAGTGGCCGTGGGGCGAATGGGCGCGCGTTGGACTCCCCCTTCTCCCCCCAAAGCCCCCACACGCACAGCGGTAGCACCGGCAGCGACGTGGAGTAAAAGGAAAACAAAAAANACAAAAACAAACAAACACGAAAGAGACAAGAAAGAGGAAAGCAAGAGAGACCCGAAACGTTGAAATAGTAAAGCGGCACAACGGAGGAAACAAACAAACAAACACAAGACAAAACAAACGAAACAACAACAACAACAACAACAACAACACAAAAAAGTAAATAGCTAGAAGGAAAAAAAGAAAAGCGTTGTCGCAACTGCGCTGATGAGGTACAGGCACAGTGAAGGGACGCCCCCGTTTTGTAGTTGAAACCCCGTTTGACGGGAGAGACGGGAGTCGGAAATAAACGAAATGCAAGCGAAGAATGACAAAGGAACGACACACGCACACAATAAATAAGCGTTTCGTGCATAGTCGTGTACGCATTCCATGTGTGGTGCACTTAAAGAGAGGTGCGTATCAGCGGCCACGTCCTCCCGAAGACGAGCAGCATCCCGCGCCATGTGCATATCTTGAGGCATTCGCCGCAGAACGCGTGGTGTACATTTCTGCGTCGAAGGGAACATACAAGCGGAGAGGTAGTGGTGAGGATTCTTTTAATACAAACAAGGCAAACACACATGCAGAAAACCAACAACAACAACAAAAAAAAACACGACAGCAGCAATAATGAACATCGTCTTCTGCGACTCGTAATGGTTCTGATGCCTGTTTGATGTGTGACGGACGTACGCGGTACGGGACAGCTACATCTATTTGCCAAGACCCCTTCATGGGCATGCGTCGCGCACAACCATACATACATATATATATGTATGTATGTATGTTTTACTTATTTCGCTTATTTTCTCCTTGTTGTGCCCCCCNCCTTTTTTTTTCGTGGTACGGCTCTGCAGCATATCCCACATAATCTCGCTCTTTGTCCTCGTCTTCGTTCTGTATGGGTCTGCGTCGCGGCTCGTCCCGCCTTGTCTGTCGGTGTGGGCTGTGCTTTGTCTGCTCCTCTTGGTGCGCGCATAAGTGTCAATGCTTCTTTCCGCGTGTGCTTTGTGCGCATGTGTGCTAGGCGTGTATCTGATCGAACGAGAGGGAGAGAAAAAAAAGAGAGAAGGAAAGAAGACAGAGTCTTTTAGTTAGCCAGTGGCTGGCCTGCTGATTTCGACATCCTTCTACTTCCGCTGCATGCTGAGCTGGAACCGGGTGCGCCAGCGGCTTCGCGGCCGCGTGTGTATCCCTGGCGTGGTGTACAGCGACGAGATTGATGCGGCGGCACGGCTGCAGGAGCAGCAAGAGGCGTCGCTGTGGCGTGGCAATTTGCGCAACATTCGCATGGACACCGTGCCGGGCCTCCTGCTGCGCTCAAACAGCCCTGACCAGGCGAGGACCGGCCCCGAGGAGGCGCCTTACACATTCTGGGAGCGCGTTGGCGTCGTGCCGGTGCACCCGTCGCGCGTGCGGCCGCGGCAGTACTACCACCCTACCACCGACTTCGGCCTTTACGACTACGACGAGGTGCCGCCGGAGGAGAAGGAGCTGACGGCGCGCTGGATGGCAAAAGTGCTAGAGTTCAACGGCGCCGTCCCTCTTGGCATCTTGTGCTTCGCCGGGTGCCTTGTGCTGCCGCTGCATACGGTATATCGTATGCCGTTGCTTGTCGCGTCCGGCGCGACAGGCGTGGCGGTGGAGATCGTGCGCGCGTACATGTCCGCTGCGAAGGAGCGGCAGGACCTCGACGACTTCATTTTGGCAAAGGAGATTTGGTACATCAAGAACATGGAGGCGTACCAGCTGGGCATCCCTCTAATCCCAAAGGGACGTGAGGCGGAGTACCACGCGTACATGGACGGTGCCATCTCCACAACACAGGAGCTACCGGACGACCTGATCGACGCTCTTCACTGAGAGAGGAACGTGCAAGCTGCTGAGGTATGTTGCAGTGTGCGAGTGTATGTGTTTGATCGTGGTGGTGGCGGTTGCGTGATGCCAGCGCAGTTGCGTGCTTCTCCTCGCCAACTATGTATTAGACCTCGTTGCAGAGTCTTATGTGCCTACTTGCTTCCAGTGTTTTTTTTTTCTGGCCGCCGGTCAGTTTGTAGGTTGTTGGCCGATGAGGGACGAAACGGTCTCCTCTTACAGTTTCTGTGGGGCCAAACTAACCCCGTGGTGCGAGATTGACGTGTCGAAGGTGAGGCGTCTTCTGCTCATAGCGATGTGCGGCTCCTTCAACCCCATCCATGAGGCACACACCGCCATGTACGACGCGGCATGGAACGCGCTGATGCGAGAAACGGACGGGACTCTAGCAGCGGAGGCGGTGGTGGGCGGCTTTGTGTCGCCTGTGAATGACGGCTATGGCAAGGAATGTCTCCGCCCATTCGCGGAGCGGGCGGCGATGTGTGCTGCGTCGCTGGCCGGGCACCCGTCACTCTCTGTGGACGAGTGGGAGGGGCGCCAGCCGACATACGTGCGGACGTTCTGCGTGCTTGACCACCTGCAGCGGGCGGCGCAGAAGTGGTACGAGGACGACGCGGGGCCGAGCGAGGCGCAGCGGGCGTGGGTGCGGCAGAATCCTGTGCGTGTCGTCTTCGTCTGCGGCAGCGATCTCTTTGCGTCTTTTCTGCGGCCCGGCTGCTGGCCGCTGGGGCTTCTCAAGCGACTGCTGGACAGCTTTGACGTGCTTGTTGTGCGACGTGTGGGGTCGCCAGGATGTGCGGCGATACTGCGTCAGAGCGACCCGGTTTTACAGGAGCGCGTGCAGGAGGTGGACGGTAGCACGACGCTGCTGACGCTGGACCTGAGCGTTTACCACTTTAAGGAGGCAGATCTCTACGATAACCCCATCTCCTCCACCACGATACGCGACCTGCTGGCTGCTGATCCTGCAGCAAACTTGAGAGGCCTCGTTCCCGCCAGTGGCGAGGCGCTTATTCGTGCGTGCTACACCGGTGGCGTCTCCTTGTCGCCGTGAGTCTCTCCAAGAGGCAACTGAGGCTGCACCGTGGTGGGTCTTTCTTCCGTGTTTGTCTCCTCGCTCTGCGTGGGTGTCTGTGCATGTGTGAATGGAGCTTCTCTTGCACATATGGGCTCCATTCGGCTTTTTCTTTTTGGCGAATTGGGGCAAAAGTGCGCGGACTCACAGACACACATTGGAGAAAGGGTGATGACGTCAACGGAGGCAGCGGCCCGACAGAATAGGAAGCCGGGCATGCTCGTCGTAATGCGTGTGGTTGGTGTGCTGGCGGTAGTGTTGGCGGCTATTCATATTGCGCTGTTGCTTCTCTTCACCGGTGAAGAGGAGCATGAGAAGCCGACGAGGTTGACGAAGGAGGCTGGTGTGCGAAGCTTTTTTACCGCAGCTGGCAATTTCCACTGCCCCCCAACAACGAACTACACGCCAGAGGAGGTTGCACAGCACGCATCCGAGGCAGACCTTTGGGTGGTGGTCGACAAGAATGTTCTTGATATGAGTACCTTTGTGCGGCATCATCCTGGCGGACTTCTGATTATGGAGGCTGCGGGGGGTGCTGACGCTGCAGATCTCTTCGCGCAGCACCACAGCCCGTCGACAGTGCAGCTTTTCCAAAAGTACTGCGTTGGGCAGCTGAAGGAGTAGCGTAGAGATGATTCGTTGTTGTGGTCGTCTGTGTCGGCGTGTGAGATGAAGTGGGTGAGTTTGGTGCTTGTCGCGATGTGGATGCACGTGTGTCTCTCTGTGTGTGTGTGTGTGTGTGTGTGTCCATTTGCAACGCTGCCTCCATCTCTCTTCTACTGCACGTGTCTTGGCCTTCTTGCAGCTTAGCAGCACGGCGGCTACGATAGTTCCCTTTTTCTCATGCGCCAGGAACGCGATACACGTGGCGTGTGGACCAACATGGCACGCATCGGCCAGTGTTACCCACGCCAGCACCACTACCCCAACAACGCCGAGGAAGTCGTGGCGCTAGTGAAGCGGCTGAAGCAGGCAGGGCAGAAGTGCCGCATTGCCGGCGCTGGCAAGAGCCCCAACGTGTCGACGTTTACCGACGCCCACCTTATCCACATGGACCGCCTCAATCGCATTGTCTCTGTTGACGTGGAGGCACAGCAGATTGAGTGCGAGGGTGGCGTGCTGCTCCGCGATGTGTTCGAGCGGCTGAGTGCTCACGGGCTCATGCTGCGGTGTGTGCCGTCGTATGTGCTCACAACCGTCGCTGGAGCCATCGGCACCGCCACACACGGCAGCGGCACGCATACAAAGTCCCTCTCCGATTACGTTGTGCGGCTTCTACTGGTGGACGGAAACGGTGAGCTGCGCACGTTTGACGCGTCAACACCGAAGGAGCTGTCGCTTGCGGCGTGCCACCTTGGCATGCTCGGCGTCGTTGTGCGGGTGACGCTACAGGCGGAGAAAAAAAGCATGTGGCGTGTGCGCAGCTCCCCTGTTCCACTCCAAACGCTCATCCACAATAACACCATCGCGCAGCGTGTGGCTGAATCGGAGTTCTACCGTTTCTTTTGGGTCCCCAATACGGACTTCTGCTACGAGTCTATTGGCGCATGCGTGAAAGAAGTTGAGAGTGCACAATCAGATGCGGTGAGCACATCACCCTCTACCGTATCCGAGGTGAAGCCATCACAAGTGCTGTCAGGTGGACTGCCGGCGATGCGGCGCCAACGCGACGGCGAGGCAAGCGACTACCAAACGTGGCAGGAGGAGCAGCAGCACCCATACACACGGCTGTGCCGGGCTGCGAAGGGGAACTGGTTGCGGCACGGCGTGGTGGAGTCGGCACTCGCGGTTGCAACTATTTACCCACAGTTGCAGCCGTACATCAACCGCGCCTACCGCCGACTGTTCTACGCCGCACCTGAGGTGCAGTACGGCACTCCTCTTGAGTGCTTCACCTTCGACTGCCTCTTCAAGCAGTGGGCCTGTGAGTGGGCGATTGACGCCAGCAAAACTGAAACGGCATTTAAGCTTCTCCGCCATCTTATTACGTCGGAGAAGCTGAGTGTTCACTTCCCTGTCGAGTTCCGTTTCACGGATGCGGATAAGACTGCTGTTTCCCCCGCGAACGGCCGCAAGACGTGCTGGATCGGCATTGTCATGTACCGCCCGTACCTACGCCATGCGCGTGACACGATGCGGTACTACCAGGCATTCAGTGACGCCATGACGGCGATGGGTGGGCGCCCGCACTGGGCGAAGTACTACACGTGGGGCCCATCGCAGCTGAAGGCAGCGTACGGACAGAACTGGGAGGACTTTCTGCAGCTGCGCAAGACGCTGGACCCGAGGGAAATGTTTGTGAACGGCTGGTGGAAGAGTCTGAGCGGCCAGGCCCCACTTTTGAATAGTACCATTAGTCACCTGTAGAAGCACCCATTACAACTCCATCATTCTTCTCTTTTTTTTTTGTGTGTGTGTGCGTGTGTCAGAAGAAAACAAAAAAAGGGCCATTGACAAAAAACGTGATTCCGTGTCTCTGTGCAGAGGGGCAGAGATGGAAGGGGGGAGAGAGAGGTGCGCATGCATCCACCCTGACACTCTGCCAGGGACACGGCTGCGCTCTTTTACACCGATGCGCTGGTCACAGAGTCTATATATATCTATACATATATACATATATGTGTGTGTGTAAATGGACACACATCGCCGAAGGGAAAACAAAAAAAATAAACTACTTAACTGAATGCTGGAGCCTGCCTACGTGCACTACCCAAATCGGGAAGCGAATGGAATCTGGTTTGCAGTGCTGTTACTATATAACACCCCCTGCGCCTCTCTCTCTCTCTCTGTATATATATATANTATATATATATATATATATATATATATATATATATGTGTGAAAATGTACGTCCTTGTTTTCCCAAACTGCAGTTATTGTGTAAAGGGTTAAGAGAAGCCACGGCGAAATGACGGAGCCGGCATTCCGCGGCACACTACTGCTACTGCAGAACCGAACCCGCCGCGACCCGGAGGCGTACCGCGACGAATTCCTTTCGCAGCTAGATCATTTCAAGGCTCTGAGCAAAACCATCATGACGCAGCAGGTGTTTAATCCACAGTACATTGCTGTGCTGAACTATGTTTGCCACGTTGGCCACTGCTTCCCCAAAGAGTCTGAAGAGGTAGCGGAGACTGTGCTGAAGCTGCTGCAGGAATTTCGGGGCGGGGCCATGACGCCGGAACTTCGTCTGGCACTCGTCAAGTCGTTGGCGCTGCTGCGGTCGAAGAACATTGTCAGCGCAGAGCGCTCCTTTCCTCTCTTCTTTCAGCTGCTGCAGGAGCGCGACAAGAGCCTCCGCCGGCTAATTCTCTCGCACATCGTGAGCGACGTGCGCAAGGTGAACATGCCAGGCGCAAAGAACGGGTCGCTGGTTAATAAGAAGGCGCAGAACTTTCTTTTTGGGGTCATGGCAGACGACGACGCCGTGCAGGCGCGGTGCGCGGAGATGGTGATGATTGACTTGTACCGTCGTCGTGTGTGGGCGAATGAGCGCACAGTGGAGGTTCTGACGCAGGCGTGTTTCTCGCGGCATACCGCCATTCTCCGCACGGCGCTGCGCTTCTTCCTGCTGCAGATGCCGAAGATTGCTTCACTTGATGACGCCGACGACGACGCCGGTGAGGAGGCGGACCCCGGCCGCGCCATCTCCAAGATGAAGCAGAAGCTAAAGATCGTTAAGAAGACGAGTAAGCGGCAGCGCATTCTCAAGCGTGAAATGAAGTCTGTGAAGCGCAAGTACGACAAGGAGGAGAAGGAGGAGGAGATGTTGGCAAAGCAGCACGTGGATCCAGTGCGTCTTTTACGCAACCCGCAGCAGTTTGTCGAGCGTCTACTGGCACGTCTGCAGAAGACCACCGAGCGCTTCGATGTGCGCATTCTGTACCTCAACGTCATCGCACGCACCGTATCGGAGCACGAAGTAGTGCATCTTCCACTGTACGCGTTCCTCGAGCGCTACATGGAACCCTCGCAGCTCCACGCGACACAGCTATTGGCGCTTTCCGTTATGTGTGTGCACCGCATGGTTCCACCTGACGCGCTCGAGCCACTCGTGAAGGCCATCGCGAATCACTTTGTGTCGGACCGTGCCTCGCCTGACGCCATCACTGTTGGGCTAAACACAATTCGCGAGATATGCAAGCGACAGCCACTTGCAATGAATGCGGTTCTGCTGAAGGATCTGGCAGAGTACAAGTCGCAGCGCGGCGACAGAGGTGTCATGATGGCCGCGCGAGCGCTCATTCAACTCTACCGCGATGTGTACCCTGAACTGCTGCCGGCGAAATATCGTGGCAGTCGTTCTGGCACCGCAGAGGATAAGCCGGCGCCTGTTTACGGCAAAGAGCAAGTGTACACCGACGTACCGGGGCTCGACCTTCTCTACGCCGCCATGGACGAAGAAAATGGGGAAGAGTCCTCATGCTGTGGCTCCAGAGATGACGATGATGATGACAGCGACGGGACGTGGATGACGGATAGCAGCGAATGCGATCCTGACGATGTTGACGGGAGTTTTGTCGATGTGTCAGACTGCAGCAGCAGTGACGGCGACGAGAGCGACG